ACCACTCCATCAAAGGTATTTCGAGAGCTTCCTAAAGCGATCGAGAGTGCGTCCCTGTTGTGAAAAATTAGCCTTCCTGCTAACCCTGCCTTTGCATTAGCTTCCATAAGTTCTTGGGTCCAGGGTCCAGGGTCCATTGTCAGCAGCTGATATCGAGAAACTGAAACACTGAATGAAACAGTTCTAACTGTTCTATCAGTTCAGTTCATTAATTATAATTAGCCTAACTCCTAATATTATAATTAACCCTTTATTTTACGTCTACCTCTACGATCAAAGGGCGCCATCTTGCTTTTAAATTTGTGATTTGTGTCTTTGTCTCAGACAGCAGAGGTTTGTTCCTCCTTTGTAGAAGTCAATGGCTAGTCATAAAAGCGGAGGTGGTATTGGTCAGCCCCTCCACTGGTCTGAGAGGGAGAGAAGGCTCTGGATACTAGTATTATTTATATGTTCAATACTTATTTATGCTGCCAGGTCCTCCCTCTCTGTATCTATAGTTGAAATGGCCTCAGAATTTGATTGGAATAAAAGAACGTGTGTAAGTGATGGGAGGAGACTCTCATTAGTAACACCTCTTTTGGTCTTTTGGGTTTTAATATTTTAATTTATTGTGGGCGTGACAATCAATAATACGAATAATTATATTTTGTTGCTCGTTTTTTAGATTCAATCTTTCTATTTTACCTGTACATGTACATATACCATTATATAATATTATATTAGGTGATTTTTAAGGGTTTGAATTTGGTCAATTTGGCATTTTGAGGTGTACATGTATTTGCCAAAATAAAATGTATCTGCCATTTAAACCATATAGGTATGGCATGTGGCCACAAATTAGCCAAATTAAAAATTGATCCTACATGTACATAAATTTAGCAGTTTATTCATGTACATGTAAATGTATGTAGCTCCTCCAAAATACAACACTTCTTTTGCTACATGTGCATTTATTAAATTCTCTTGTTCATTTTCTCTCTCTCTCTCTCTCTCTCTCTCTCTCTCTCTCTCCCTCCCTCCCTCTCTCTCTCTCAGGGTATCATTCTCTCCTCATTCTTCTGGGGTTACAGTGCTACTCAGGTGATAGGAGGACAGTTAGGTGATAAATATGGTGGAGAGCTAGTACTGTGGACATCAGCATTGGTTTGGGGTGGGGCAGTTCTATCAATATCTATTGTAGCTAGTATATCAACCACTTTAGTATTTGTAGCTCACCTCACTAATGGACTTAGTCAAGGTAAGGGAGGGAGAGAGAGAGGGTTTGAATCAAGTAATAAAAGTAGTTAAATGAAAGTAGTGTGAATGAACATTAGTACATATCATTTGTCTTTAAGTTTTAAGAAGCTACATGTACATGTACTAATGCATTTAATGTTACTATTACATGTGTGTACAATCCCACATCAAAAATTGAAGATGTACATGTACCATAAATTGGGAAATTTCCAATTAGAAAATAAATTGGATAATTAATTTTCAATAAGTTTTAATTTTTGGATAGCTATCTTGTTCTGAAATTAAGTTTAATTCCAATATTAAGCAGTAACAGTGAGTGACTTTGAAGAGACATCAAAGAGCTCAATGGTAGACCAAGAGAGAGTGAGTATGAGCGAGAAAGAAGGAGTAGAGGGCACAGAGCAGTACTGAAAACAGCTAAATAATTGAAGCCACATGGTATGGATACCGGAATTCCTTTTTACCCGAATTTTTTAATATTCAATTGCTAAAATTTTAACTTTTTTAGTTTCGAATTTTTCTATCCATCCGGAAATTAAAATTATTCAAAAATTTCCCAATTTACTGTATATACATGTACATAATTTACTTTCAATGTAGCTACAGTACATTGTTACTTTATAACTTCATTATTACGTATAATCCTACTGGACTAATTTATTATCTGTACAGTGTAGGTTTATTATTAGAACTACTACACAATACAATATTCAATTGTGTCTTTTTATCCATACATTCTTAGGTGTGTATTTCCCTGCTATTGCTAGTTTATTGACCACTAGAGTATCTGATGAGAATAGAAGCTTTGTGAATGGACTGATACATGCTGGACCACAACTGGGGTGGGTATCATTATTTAATTTAGGACATTTTGGCAATTAATACTATTATTAATTTATAATTTGCGTATTATTGTTTTTTAGATTCCTAATAATAGCTCACAGTTTAAATTTAAATTTAAGTTTAAGTTTAATTATATGTACATGCATCTACAGGTACATATCATTATGCATGTGCATGTATGAGAGAT